CGCTGTAGTTGGTCAAGCTTCAAGAAATTTTGACCCATTAATCTCTAATATCATAGATTTAGTTAAAAGTATTCTTGATGTATACGAAAATGTTCAGTTTAATAAGAAAATTTGTGATTGTTTAATTGATCGGGTCGAGTCTGTTGAGATGGCTATCAAGTCATTGAAACGGCATAAAGATGAAAATGCCAGGTATTTCTTTAAACAAACCAACTATAATGCCTTTCAACAACTTATCGTTGTTCTCGAAAAGATACAGCAATATATAACGGATGTATCTCAACTTCATGGATTGCGAAAGTTTTCCGATATAAAGGATATAAAAAAACAATTTGAAAAATTAACTATAGAGTTTGATATAATAGTTAGCACTTTGAAGCTTAAAATGTCTTTTTCCGAAAAAGAACAATCAATAAGAGATAAAATTGCTATAGATGATGATATTAACACAATGACAAAGGTATACCAATTCTTTTATTTTTTATATATAAATAACAAAGTTATGTATATAATTATTAATATTCTTAAATATTCTTTTTTTTTTTTTTTTGTCTTTTGATTAGTTTTTGAGTAGTGTAAAAAGTGGAATAACAGAACCGATCCCGGATACTGCACAAGATGATACCGCTTCTTTAGGGGTACAAATTAGTGATATTTTTGAAGAAATAATAACCAAAAAGAATTATGTCGCTGAAACAAATAAGGCAATTAAATTCAAGGCGAAAATAATACCATCTGACAAAATATTAAATCCTGATGGTCCAAGTAGAGGAAACGTTCATAGGATGTTTTATGATAATAAGGCTGTTGCGTGTAAATACTTTGATAACGATCAAAATTCAAGGTTTCACTACGAATTATCCATGCTTTATAATCTAAATCATTCTGAAAATATTCTTAAATTTTACGGTCTTTCTGAATTGGATGAGGGTCAAAGTCAATTCTTGGTTTTTGATTGGGCTGACTTTGGTGACCTACAGACTTTGTATGAAACTTATGACCTTGATTGGCCAATCCGACTACAGTTGGCTGTTGGTATTTGTCGCGGATTGTTATTCTTGCATGGTTGTCAAATACTTCATAGAGAACTTCGATGTCAAAATGTTGTGGTACGTATATATGTGTTAATTATATATATATATATATATATATTACTTTACATTATTCTTATTTATTCTTATCATGTAATTATTATTTAATTAAACAGGTAACTGCCGATTTGCAACCAAAACTTGTAAATTTCAATTTCGGTCGACCCGCAAAGTACAGTAGATATTTTGTTGAAAACATAACGGCTGTTGTGCATTGGCTAGCTCCGGAAAAGTTGCGTTTAGGAAATAAAGTGAAATTTTCACACAAATGTGATATCTTTAGGTATTATTATTATTATTTAATATTATATATAAATAAGTACGTGTGACTGTTCACCAAACTTGCTTTTATAGTTTGCTAATTCCTACTGTACTTTATTAGCTTTGGCATGCTTTTATGGGAGATTGCTTTTGAAAAAATTCCATACAAAGATTGGAGCTACACGAGTATCATTGATCATGTGAAAGCTGGCAAGAGAGAAAGTATGGATATAGGTCCTAATACAATTCAACGAGATTTCACAAAAATAATTAGAGCAGGTAAACTTTTTTATATATATTGTCCCTATATATTAAAATGATGATTTATTTAAATTATTATATATATATATATATATATATAAAATAGCTTGGCAAGATGATCCTACTCTTCGTCCAGGCCTTCATGAATTATTTATTCAATTGGACAAATTACATAAGGAAAATCCTGTCGATAAAAAAGTTCACCTAGCAAAGAAAAACCATATTGAAGTGGAAACTACTGATGCCCAGTCTGAAATAATTGTAGTCGAGGAAAACAATGTGCAAGACAAAGATTTAGAACTTAAATTTTTGGGTATAGTTAAACCAATATTGTTACTCGAAGAAGGTATCAAATCACATAAATCTGGTGAAAAAAAAGTAGCGTGGGAATGTTTTCAAGCACATGCTGATTTAGGAAATAACTACGCAAAGTATTGGCAAGCTCATTATTTAACAGAAGGTTATTATGTGGATAAAGATACGAAAAAAGGAACAAAATATTTCAAAGAAGCCGCTGATGCAGATGTGGCTGATTCGCAACTTCGTTATGCCTTTTCGCTTTATCATGATCAAATCATTCAAGACACTGATGCTTTTTTGCATTATTTAACATTAGCGGCGGAAAATGGAAATGCTACAGCTCAATTTAATTTGGGTAGAATGTATTATGCTGGTATGGTTGGATTAAACAAAGACAAAGAGAAAGGATTGCAGTATCTAAAAATGGCTGCTTTGAAAAATCAACCAAGGGCTATCCAATTTCTAAGTAGTGTGAAAATAGATAGGTATGTTTGATTGCACTAGTTTTAAATAGATTAAATTGAGCCGGCCTTTGCGAAGTCACCATATTTGCAGATAGTATGTTATTTCTTTTAATCAAAATTGTTGTACTTAATACTATTATGTGAATAAATCTTTGGTTAAAATATTCAAATAATTTTTCATTTATTAATACTAATATAATTTTTTTTTTTTTTTAGTATATACATAAACAACTTATTAGAGTATCTGCACTTTTATATGTAGAAGCTTAGCTAAAAAAAAAAAACCAAACAAAAACATTATTTGTATCAAATTCCACCTTTGTATATTTATAATTAGAAAGTTCTATTTTATATAATTATTATATTTGTGTTTGTAATTTTAAATAGTGATCGAACATTAAATGAAGATTTTGTACTGTATTTTAAAAGATTTAAAAATTTTTTTTTGTATCTTTATTAGCAAACTGATATATATATCTACGTTTAAAAATAAAGTAGTCAGTTTTTGTAGAATAATCTATACAGTAACAGTATATTTGGTTAAAGATCTATATAAATATTGTAAATGGGTAGAATTTATTCTGTATAGACTTATACTCTAACCAAAAAATCTCAACTCCACTTAAATTTCGTTCCCACTTACAACATATACATAGAATTTGGAACCGGTTTCATAACATAAACGGTTATTTCGCCCATTTCACTGACAACCATTTTGCCGATATCCCATTTTTCAGTGTTGGCAATTGGACAACTGGAAAACCAAATTAACCAATGATAGAGGCCTGAATTGGGTCCCGTGGCCCGGCCCGGCCCGGGCCTGAAGCAAAATTTTTATAATTGCGGGCCGGGCCTAAATTTTCTAATTGCGGGTCGGGCGGGCGGGCCGGGACGGGCCAGGCTAAATTAAACTAAATTTAATAGTTAAATTTAATAGATGATTCACCTGTTATTTGAAGAGCTATGTAATGCGGGTTACACAAAATTTATATATAAATTATATATAAAATCTTCAAATAGTAAATATGGAATGCACTAATTTTCTTACTAAGTAAACCACCTTTGGGTTTCTAAACAAAGTTGTAGAGCTCATCAAGATATATCTAATGGTAGTAAGAGCATTAAAATCGGTCTAGTAGTTCTTGAGATATCCTTAAAAAACATTTCATCATCATATAAAATTTCAAAATTTTATATGATAGCAAGGTGTTTTTTAAAGATATCTCAGGAACTACTCGGCCGATTTTACTGCTCTTATTACCATTAGATGCATCTTGATGAGCTCTACAACTTTGTTTAGAAACCCAAAGGTGATTTACTTAGTAAGAAAAAGGGTTTAGACTAGTGCACTTCATATTTAGCTTAATAGTAAAATTTACTTTATAAAATTTGCAAATCTTCTCCAGGTAATAGACAAATTGTCTATTAAATTAATTTATAAAAAATTAATAATTTAATAAAAAAATTTAAAATTTAAAGTTTATATATTTGCGGGCCGGGCCGGCAAAAAATTTTTAATATTAAATGCGGGCCGGGCCGGGCCTTAAAAATCATTAATTTGCAGGCCTCTAACAAATGATATTAAATGATTAATTGAATAATTGGAACAACCAATAATATTCATTAGCTGATTGTCCAATTGTCCAATTACCAACACTGCATTTTTTTCGACAACCTATTTTTTGAAAGTACCAACGATTGGTATATATCGGCTGATTTATGAAATTGTACTAAAATAAATGCAATTTGCCATTTTTTTTAATTTTGAATGCTTTTGATCTATTGATCCGTTTTGGATTTTACTACCAAAATGTTCGTCTTGATGTTGATGATTCTAATAAGCCCAAAATCACCTATAGTCCACCTTATAGGTGCGTCTGCAAACACCTTAACGATCTTGGGATCCAGCGATTGGATTTCGGCGATAACGATAATAGGCTTATTAGAATCGTCACATCAAGTGAACATTTTGGTATTCAAAATTTAAAAAAATGTCAAATTACATACAATTATCTTACCCAGGATCGCCAACAAAATTTTGCAGTCACGTGATTACCGATAAAATTCTTTAAAGCTTATTTAGGTTTAGGTTAGGGTCTGTTTTAGGGTGGTTCTAATAGTAAAATCTCCCAAGGAAATTTTTTTTGTTAATGCACGGAAGGCAGTTATCTATGCAGAATTTTAAGTTATAGGCGATGTTTGACAAAACGAACGTTTGTTTTGAATTTTCTTGATTGTGCAACGTTACACCTGATCCTGAAATTTGATTTGTTTGGGATCACGTGTCTGCAGAATTTTGTTGGCGATCCTGGGGTAGTTCATACAATTTCATAAATCAGCTGATATGAACTTACGATAAAAAATTTAAATTTTACAACCCTGTCGATTGTCGGCGAAATGAACTGTCGGGGAAATGGGTTTTCGGGGAGGTGAAGTCGGAGAATTGGACTATTGGAAAAGTGGGTTGTCGGAAAAATGGGTTATCGACAAAATGGCTTTCAGTGAAATGGGTGTCGGTGATATCGTTGTCAGTGAAGTATCATTTTATTTACTAATACAGTATATGAGTACCGTCAAGTGAAAACCTGTCATCGGGCTTTCAATTATATTTTGTGTCCGGTTTGTTCTCCGAGTGCCGTCTAGGAAAATTCTATCAATTATATTTTGTAACAAATATAATTCTACGCACTCCGACAACAAACTGGACACAAAATATTATTGAGGCTTTCCCTTGACGGCACTCATGTGTAAAAATAGAAATTGCCAATCTAAAAATGCGTATTTCTGATTTGATAAACCTTATCAAAAGTGATTTTAAACTTTTGTGTAATTTTGACGCACCATAGCGATAGTAAATTAAAATCATTAATTGTAATAACTTTTTGTGAAATATGTACTACGTAGCAGTAAGTGTAACATTACATTTGTTCATCATACGATTAATTTAGTAATGCTAAAGTCAAATTGTAATTACCATTCAATAATTTGCAAGTGACCAGAAAATTGACTGTAAAACGTGAAATCGAATGGGCAAAATTTTACGTTACTTAATGATAGTTTATCTCAACTTTGATCATTTATATTATTTACAAAATTACTTTCCCATCTCTAATACGTACCAACTTTGATTAATATAAAGTTCAGAAATTATCAATTTTATAATGATTAAATATCTTTATTTGATGATTACGATTATTAATCTACATCATTTCATCACCTAAATTTAATGGCGCTTATTTATAAAATAGATATCAAAAAAAAAAAGTATTAAATATTCTATTTACATATTGGGATTGGGGTTGTTATTAAGGTTCTGCTGACCGTATGATGGCACATAATACACATAATTTTCTGGATGCATATTCTGAGTTACAGTTGGTTGATAATGAAGCTGCTGCTGAGGTTGAAGTTGCTGCTGAGGTTGAAGTTGCTGCTGAGGTTGAAGTTGCTGCTGAGATTGAAGTACATATTGAACCTGATTTGGATCTTGACTGTATTGCTGATTCTGATTTTGAATATTTTGATTTTTATTTTGGTTAGGTTGATTTTTATCATATTTAGTCAGGTCTCGTTTTACTGGCCTGCGTGGTGGTAACGTCGGAGGAAGTTGTTGTTGTATATGGCCTTCTGATCCGTTTGGTCCCAAGCCAACATTATTTACGTTATACGGCAAATTCGATGACGCTGGAGGATACTGAACTTCTAGGTTCCCTGTTTTCAATCCATCTCTGACTTCCATTAAAATACGTCCGAGCCAATTAACCCCGTTCCCATCACCTCCATCACCCCAAAATTTATCAATAGTTGTATGCTCCACAAGCTTCATGTCACCTGTCGACACCAGCCTTTCAGCTAATATACGATGTTGCGTAAATTTTTTTTCTACCACCCATTTCATGACTTTTACGTTGATATCCTGCCAATTTGGATCCACCAAATTCTGGTTCATTCTAGCTAGGTTTAATGCATCCCTAGGAGAACGACACCTTCTAATTTGGTCGACGATTTCTGGGTGATGTTCCTTAAACTTTGCAGCTTGGAAAAGATGTTCGCTTGTAGGCCATATTTTTACTTCATAAAGTTCCTTGTGCAACTCGCTAATTTCCCCAAGGGAAGCGCTAATTTGAAACCCCTCTTTAAAATTCGTAAACTCGTAATAATCTTCGTTGCGATTATAAAACCATATCGTATTTGGGGGTGGTTGTTCTCGCACTAGAGTTATTGTAAATTTATTGAAGTTATTCATAAAAAAGTAATGAATTGCCAGTTATTAGAACAGTTCAATACCTGGTTGATGCATCTGATTAATATAGTTTTGACTATCTGGATGAATTTCAATTGTTGAACGCTGGTTTTCAAAATACTTATTCTGATAATTACGATCTGGTACTAAAAAGAATATATGCATTAGGCCGATAAATTAATTCTCAATTCAAATATCAAAGATTTTAATCATCGTTTATGTGAATTTTAAAGTTAAAAAAAAAGCATAAGCAAAGAGAAGCTTATATATACATTGTTCAAAGTCTATATGTATACCAATATCATGTTTACAGTTTACACATATGTTCTGATTATTTATATCTTGGTGAAAGTTTGGACAGTTACAAGGAATTTCTTTACACCTTCCAACATGGTATTGAGGAACTCCTCCTTGCTGTGATTGTTGGCTCATTGTGAATTCGGATCTCAAAAATATCCTACGTTATAAGCTGTTTGGTTTATATAAAGTGATCAAGTGGTTTCGTACCATCGTTACTAGTTCTATTTTTGGATGTGTGCATTCCGCATTGGTCATTATCATTACTTTGAAAAGTAATTGCTGAATTATTAAAAAAGATTACCAAAAGCGGTAAAAATCACCGGCATTAAGGAACATCAGTGGAAACCCGAAATTTTGTTATAAATGCGCCAATCTCAGGAGAATGCCTTTATTGGTGCCTATCATTGCGGTGCGGCTCACTTTACCGACATCACACAACGTAACAATTTAGCATGTTATTAGTTATAGACATATTATGTTAGTAAATTGTCGCATGGTATGATGTCGGATAAATGATTTGATTGTCGGAGAAATAATGCGGAACCTTATCATTGAAAAGATGGCTGTTCTTAAATTTTGTAAAAATCCCGATGTTCATAGCCCCGACAAGTTAGCCGGCATGATTATAGTTCCGATCATTATACTGTATACATCAGAGCTCCAGGAGCGACCGTTCTAGTTACACAAATTACGAAAATCTCCGAAGAGGTGATAACCAATCAAAATCGTGGATTTT